CGGCCTTTAGGGTGAGGGTCTGTGCACCTGAGTCCTGACTCCATGGTGCTTCACACCTCTTTCCTCCAGTGCCAAGTACACACAACAACATCCATATCATCTGTCATACTGGATCACTGTTAGGATTAAATGACTGTGATTTGGAATCATTTCAAGAACTGGCATTCTAATGATTGCATTTTCCTTGAGCTGTTCTGTCACTTTAAACTGTTTTACAAAAGAGGAGCAAATAATGCAACTAAACCGATGTATCCATCACCCTCTTCAGCAATTATTAATACAAAGCCAGGTATACCCCTACTTACCCACCCACTTCTTTTTCTTTATTTTATTTATTTGTTTGGGTACCAGGGATTGAACCCAGGAGGGGCTTAACCACTGAACCACATCCCCAGCCTTTTTTATTTTTTATTTAGAGACAGGGCCTCACTAAGTTGCTGAGGCTGGCTTTGAACTCACCATCCTCCAGCCTCAGCCTCCTGAGCTCCGGGGATTTACAGGCATGTGCCACTATGCCTGGCTCTTCTTTTCCTTTCCTAACCAGTTTTCAAAATAATAAGGCATTACCCTAACATCCCTGCAAGGTGACTAATGATTTATTCAGAATTGCTTTAAATATTGTTAGGAATTCATAGTGTTAGACACATTTACTGTATCTCAGTCTATGATATTTAATATCCTCATCAATGTTGCCCTTGACCGGGGAAGCCCCATGACTTCTGAGTCCTTTTGACAGGACACTTGTAGGCTTGGACACCTCATTTGCTTTTTTTGGTATGATGAGGTATCCTGGGTTGATCTTGTACATTTACTATTTTTTTTTTAATTTTTTATTGTGGGTTGTTCAAAACATTACAAATTTCTTGACATATCATATTCCACACTTTGATTCAAGTGGGTTATGAACTCCCACCTTCACCCCATACACAGATTGCAGAATCACATCAGTTACACATCCATTGATTTACAAATTGCCATACTAGTGTCTGTTGTGCTCCACTGCCTTTCCCATACATTTACTATTTTTAAATTTAAAATCAGCCACTTCCCTAGGAGCCTGTCTAGAGCCCATAATCTGGTTGCCACCATTCATACGAAGGTGGTCCTTGTTTCTAAAGCTTACAGTGAGTATTTAGGACAAGAATAAAACACACAGAGTCCACAGGGATGCTCCCAGTTCATAGTCAGGACCTCACCTCATGCACCCTGCATTTGTATCTCAACCAGAACATTTTGTTTCTGAGACACACTCATTAGTCATTTGATATACCCCACAGAGACACATACAAGTCTTAGAATAATGACAATAATATCATAGTACCATCAGTAATGTAAAATTTTAGATGGGGTACTGGGAATTGAATCCAGTGACACTGTACCACTGAGCTACACCCCCAGCCCTTTTAATTTTTTAGTTTGAACAGGAAGGACCTCACTAAATTGTTGAGGTGGGCCTCCAACTTGGCAGTCCTCCTGCCTCAGCCTCCCAAGTTGCTGAGATTACAGGCATGCACCACCACACCTGGCTTAATACTGAAAACAGTTTAGGGTTTTCTGGGGAAATGATGGGTGCATTCTTTTTATCCTTTGGGTACATCTACTTAATAAGGATAATCAAAGTTACCATGTTATAATTTCTCCACATATAGCATGCCTACTAATTGAACTCATAGGTCATTTGTCTTAATTTATATTTAATTTTAGGGACTTTACAAAAAAAAATTTTTTTTTTGGTACCAGAGATTGAACCCAGGGGCTCTTAACCACTGAGCACATCCCTAGCCTTTTTTGTATTTTATTTTGAGACAGGGTTTTGCTGAGTTGCTTAGCGCTCCCTAGATTGCTGAGATTGGCTTTGAACTCACGATCCTCCCGCCTTAACCTCCCGAATCTCTGGGATTACAGGCATGCACCACTGCACCCGGGGGACTTTACAAAAAATTTAATTGTATTTTATAACTGTCGAGTATTTGTCTATTCCAGAGTCACACAAGAAAGGGTATTACAAGTCCAACTTCTACCCCTGCCCCTTCATATAATTCCCCTCCTTTAGCTTACGCTTGAGCCTCTTATTGTCTTTTAAAAAATGTGAGCATACACATATATACTTTAAAATTTTTGTATTTGTTTTAATTAGTTACACATGACAGTAGAATGCACTTTGATATGTTGCATATAATGGAGTATAATTTCTCCTTCTTCTGGTTATACATGATGTAGACTCCCACCACTCCTGTAGTCATATATGTACACAGGATAATAATGTCATTTTACTATCCTTCCTCTCCGCATACGTCCTCCTCTCCCTTTACCCCCCTCTACCTAATCTAAAGTAACTCTAGTCTTCCCTAGCCCTGCCCCCTTATTGTGAATTAGCATCTGCTTATCAGAGAACACATTCAGTCTTTGGTTTTTATGGGATTGGCTTAGCATGACATTCTCCAGCTCCATCCGTTTACTGGCAAATGCCATAATTTCATTCTTCTTTAAGGCTGAGTAATATTCCATCACATATATGTATGCCACATTTTTAAATCCATTTATCTGTTGAAGGTCATCTAGGTTGATTCCATAGTTTAGCTATTGTGAGTTGAGCTGCTATAAACATTGATGTGAATATGTCACTGTAGCATGCTGATTTTAAGTCCTTTGGGTATAAACCGAGGAGTGGGATAGCTGGGTCAAATGGTGGTTCCATTTCAAGTTTTCCAAGGAATCTCCTTACTGCTTTCCAGATTGGCTGCACCGATTTGCAGTCCCACCAGCAATGTATGAGTGTACCTTTCCCCCGCACATCCTCGCCAACATTTATTGTTCTTTATATTCTTGATAATTGCCATTCTGACTGGGGTGAGATGAAATCTTAGAGTAGTTTTGATTTACATTTCTCTAATTGCTAAAGATGTTGAACATTTTTTCATATATTTGTTGATTGATTGTATTTCTTCTTTTTTTAAATGTCTGTTCAGTTCCTTAGCCCATTATTGATTGGGTTATTTGGGTTTTTGGTGTTAACTTTTTGAGTTTTATGCTGGAGATTAGTGCTCTATCTGAGGTGCATGTGGTAAAGATTTTCTCCCATCCTGTAGGCTCTCTCATCAGTTATTGATTGTTTCCTTTTCTGAGAAGAAGCTTTGTAGTTTGAATCTGTCCCATTTATTGATTCTTGATTTTACTTCTTGTGCCTTAGAAGTCTTGTTAAGAAAGTCAGATCCTAGGCCAACATGGTGAAGATTTGGGCCTGCTTTAACTTCTGTTAGGCACAGAGTCTCTAGTCTAGTGCCTAAGTCTTTGATCCACTTTGAGGTGGGTTTCATGGAGGGTGAGAGATAGAGGATTAATTTATTTGCTACATGTGGATTTCCAGTTTTCCCAGCACCATTCATTGAATAGGCTTTCTTTTCTCCAGTGAGTGTTTTTGGTGCCTTTTTCTAGTATGAGATAACTGTATTTATGTGCATTTGTCTCTGTGTCTTCTATTTTGTACCATTGGTCTACATGTCCATTTTGGTGCCAATACCATACCGTTTTTGTTACTATGGCTCTGTGGTAGAGTTTAAGGTCTGGTATTGTGATGCCTCCTGCTTTACTCTTCTTGCTGAGGATGGCTTTGGCTATGCTGAGTCTTTTATTTTTCCAAATGAATTTCATGTTTGCTTTTCCTAGTTCTATGCAGAACGTTGTTGGGATTTTAACTGGAATTGCATTAAATCTGTATAACACTTTGGGTAGTATGGCCATTTTGACAATATTGATTCTGCCTCTCTAAGATCATGGGAGACCTTTCCATCCTCTAAGTCTTCTTCAATTTCTTTCTTTAGTGCTCTTTAGTTTTCATTGTAGGGGTTTTTACCTTTTTTGTTAGATTGATTCCCAAGTATTTTTTTTAAGGTATTGTGAATGGGGATGTTTTCCCAATTTCTCTTACACATATATTTTTGCATTCCTTCCCCTTTTCTTAAATAAATGGTAGCATGTTACACACACTTTTTTTCCTATTGAATTTTTTCAACTAATAGCCCTGGAGATCACAACACAGGCTTATAGGATGTATTTCTAATATATCTCTAGAACTGAGACTGCCAAGCCAAAATTGCTTATTGATTGATTGATTGATTGATTGATTGATGCTAGGGATAGAACCCAGGGCCTTGTGCTTGCAAGGCAAGCACTAGCTGAGCTATATCCCCAGCCCACTGCATATGTATTTTGATACATAATTGCCACATTCCCCTCTCTCTGGTGAATTTCACTATTTTCTGCAGACACACTTTTATGCAAAGCACATAATTAAAGGAGATCTGTTGTCTGCACTGAAGGCTAAATGATTGCTCATTTAAACCTTGTGGGACTTGAATCCCCCAAATGCTCATTAATGACTGACCTGCTCTGCCAAACTTTATCCCCATTTTACAATAAAGAAACTGAGACACGCAGAGACCAGTGATCCACCATGAGTGACATAGCAACCTTCAAATTAAAGTCCACATCTCCTGACCCTGAACTCAGATCTCCTTTTAGTTTGTTATAGATTTGTTCATGGTGAACTGGGTTTGCTTATCTGGAGATGGGGCGGGGAGGAACAGTAGTTCTTCTAAGGAAGTTAAGAAATTAAAGAGATAATTACAGGTGAATTCTTCCTTGGGTATGGGACAGATTCTTCAAGATATAGCTGAATTGCTTTAAGTGAACAGGACATCAGTAATGAGTCTGTGGTGTGAGGGCGCTAAGACAGGATTTTATGGATGGGAGAGTCAGTCACCCCCTCCCCCAAACCAATATGTTTAAGCACCTTGCTGAACCTGCCTGTTTCTTGCAGAGTTCTTTGAGCTTGGAGCAAAGATGCCGTTATGCTGTGCAAAAATTTACAAATGGACATGAATGAGATGTCATTTTCCTGTTGAATGAACAAAGCTGCAAAACACAAAGTCTTTTTTTTTTTTTTTTCGTTTTTTCCCCTTTTCCTAGAGTAACCCAGGGCTTCTCCTCTGTGCTTGCAGGTTGATTGACTTATGTGCAACCTGGGACACTGGAGTGTGCTTTCCCTCCACAGCCTGGAGCCGAGCCTCCTCCGGTGTTGCAAGGCAGGGGCTGAATGAGGCAGAGGAGGTGAGTGGGGCCCCAGCCTGGGGTGGGGGGTGGCTGCCAAGATGTGCTCCTCGAGCCCTTCTCTTTGATGACAGAAGGCTCTTTGCCTGGCCCCAGAAATCTTCTGAGGGATCTCCTTCCTTCTCCCAGAGACAGAAGCCCAGGCCCTCCCTGGAGGAGGCTGCAGCTGAGGAAGCACTGGCTCCTCCCCCAGCAGGTGCAGTCAGCCAGCATTAGTGTCCCCATGTCCCCGCTGTCCACCTCAGTTGAAAAATTAGCCACTGGCTTTGTTTGTGACCTGCATCCCCCCCCACTAAGCCTGGGCCTCCACAACCGGGGAGCCTCCTGAGTGACAGCCCTGGCAGATGGGGCGCAGTCCAAGAACACCCCCTCTAGGCGGGGCATTGGGCCCTGGCAGATGGACAGCTGCCCAGGGTGCAGGAAGCAGCCAGGCCCACATCACGGACTCGCACCCTGCATCCGAGCCTGCGTTGTTCCATTCTAGGGTAGAATTCCCTCCTCCTCCAGCAGCTCCTGCCTTGCAGGATGGCAGGGGAAGGCACTCAAGACGCAAGGGCTGCAATTTTATCAGAAGAGTAACTGGGGGTAGACACAAGCAGGGTGCCTGGAGGCTCAGGGATGGGAGAGTCTGGCTTGGAGGCCGGGATCCTCTTTTTCTTTTGAGTTTGAGCATCTCTGCCTCATTGTGGTGTCTTGTGTTTTCCAAGAAAAAAGTTGGAATGGAACTGGGGAAGCAAGTAGAGTTTAAAAAGAGGAGGTAGCATGCCCTGGTGACATGGGTTTGGGATCTGAACAGGTAGTCCAGCCCTACTTGCTGTGTGACCTCTGGAAAGCTTCTTAATCACTCTGGGTCTCTCAGTTCCTGGCTGACACAATGGAAATAGTAATGGAAGAGCCCTGCACAATGTCCGGCATATAGTAGGTGTTCAATAAACCAAGGTTATTAGTAGACAGTAGACATATGTTTACTTATATCAGGGTAGTCTCTCTGTGGGTCTTTTCAGGGCAAAGCCTTGTCACAGAGCAGTGCCAGGTTTCAGGGACCCCCTGAGAGATTCATCTGACCGTGGTTTTTCACCCTGTCATTGTTACTACATATCATACTTGAGTATGCGGATAGTTGGGCAGGGGAGGTTACTATATGTGGAGGACTCTGATCACAAAAATGGTGTTTATTGAAATGGGCACTTTGTATATGCAAAACCGAATGGGGACAGACCCCAGATTTGTGATGGAATCAGGGAGTTAGTCCAGCTTCGCGCCACCATGCCCCTCTCCCTGAATTTTTTCACAGACCCGTCCTATCCCCACCCTCCCTGGGCCCATGTATTATGCTGGGTGGCCCAACCAGGCCCCGCACTGGGAAGCTGCGCCCCCTGTCTCTGATGACAGGCACTGCACATCCGCAGAAACACTTCCCATCTAACCTGCCCAGAGCTCAGATCCTTGTCCTTTGTGTGGCGGGTCCGTTTCCGTTAGCCCTGTCTCCTAGCCCTCAACCGGATTCTGGGATGTGAGCTAGGCTGGTGTTGTTCCATTTGATGGACAAGCAAACTGAGCCTCCAAGAAGTTAATCCCCACAAGCTCCACAAAACTAAGGAGCATGAGAGCCACCGGGAGAACTCTGATGCCCTGAGCAGAGGGATGTTTTCTCACTATGACATCACACGGCCACCTCTAGTGTGGGGTACCCCATCAGAAGGGGAGCATCCATCAGAGCCTTTTGGACACACAGAGGAACCTAAGACCAGACAAAGGGGGCAGAGAACATTTGCAGGCAGGGACAGCTGGCCACTGAGGGAGCAATGGGTTATGAGAGAAGGGAAGCTCATCTAGGTTTCTTTAGCTGGTGACAATAATCACCATCTGGATAACCAACATCAAGGGGTCCCCGTGCACCACCACCAGGCAAGCAGTTCCCAGGTGTCCCTCCTCACTGCAGCCCTACAAGGTGGGGCCACTTGTCACCTACACTTTACTGATGAAGCAAAGTACATGAAGGTTAAAGAAATTCCCCAAAGCCCCATCTAAGAAAGCCGGCACGTGGGTTCGAATCCCAGCAGTCTGGCTCTGGGACCTGAGCAGTTGACCCTCTGGGTTTGTGGCTACGTGTGGTGTTCAGGTGGCTTCTTCCAAGCTTCATCACAGCATTGTATGATGTTTCTGAGCAAGTGCCAGCCGGGCTCCGGGTGTGACGTAACTTCGCTGCTCAGGAGGCTGGGAAGCCTCCTAGGAGTGAGTTCTCCATTTCTCGGGCTCTCCCCCCTTTGTTCTGAGGCCCCTGCCATCTGGAGCGGCCTGGGCATCTGCTCCCGAGCCTCGCCCTTCTCCCTTCTCCTCCCACCCCAGCATGAGGCACCTTCCTAGCTCAGCCTTGTCCCCACCCCCTAGGGTTTCCACTCATTGTCAGCTCAGGTCACCAGGAACAGACACCTGCCTTCTGTCACATGGCAGAGAAACCAAACAGCTTCCCCAGGCCTTCAATTTCCCAAATGGATCCATTTGTTTAATTGCACTCACCCTCCCCAGCATGTCAGCAAGACGCGGGGCCTGCCCTCTCCAGGCCACTGCAGGCCAGACTCAGGCTCCGGGGGCAGGGCTGGGGATTGATTGACAGGTGCAAGGTCGCAGCGCTCCACTAAGAGCTGTTTGGTTTGCTCCTCCGGCCCCAAGCCAGTTCGGGCCACAGAGGCTGCACCTACACATAGGCATTGATCATAGGGGTAGAGATAGGGCCAGGGTGGAGGTGGCCACGGTGAGAGCCGGTCCCCTCCCTGGCTACCTCTTTTCTGTGAAGTGATGTCTTTCCTGTCCCCTGGCCTTTCCGCTCGACCTTTCTACCAGAGCCTGAGCTGTGAGCGCCTGGACAGCTGGTGCCTGTTCTCGTTTCTGATAGATACGAGGACCCCAAAGGGCAGCAAACCCAAAGCCTTCTCTGCACCTCCAGAGCCAATGCGTCTTTGGCGTCAGCCCGCATCACTGCCAACGCTTCGCAACCAGACTCCCAGACAAACACTACATCTTAAAACTCAGAGAAAAAAAAAACCCTGTCCCTTCTGTTGCCACCCCTGTCGCTCCCCTCCCCCTCGGCCTCTGCTTTCACAGCCCCTCCAGTCCGCGGAGCCCGCTGCGGGATAGCAGTTGGGTGCAGAATGCTGACACACTGGGTGGAAATGCAGACGGCGGAGGAGGGAGGGAAGGAACAGATGTCGCTCCCCCTGCGGCTGAGTCCTTTCCTTCCCAGCCCCACTAGTCACAGCAGACAGGAATTTAAAAAATGCCGTCCTTGGAACATTAGCAGCCAAATCACTACGGACAGCAGGATGGCAGACACTTCAGAAGAAGTGACCAGCTCCCTGTGGACGCCTAGGTCCTGGGCCCTGATGGGAGAAGCTGGAGTTGGGGAGCACTTTGGGGAAAGAGAGGCAGGAGAGTGGGGAGCCCAGAGGTGCTTTGGCTGGCTAGGGATCTTGCAGGAGCCTCCCTTTCTCTCTGGCCCAAAGTAGACAGTCCCTGTGAGATGCCCAGGCGCCAAGAGTAGAAACTGCGGTCCCTTGACCATCCAGCCAGGTGTGGAGATCTGCCCAGGCGGTGTCTACTTGATAGGGGACAAAGTAGATTTGAAAAACCAGCTTGTCCAAGGCCGTGTAGCAAAGCAGCCCACCAGTTGTGATTTAAGGGAAAGGAGAAAGGCCCAGTGATTTTTGTTTTGTTTTGTTTTGTTTTTTGGTACCCAGGGATTCAACCGGGGGGCGCTTAACCACTGAGCCACATCCCCAGCCCTTTTTTTGAATTTTATTTAGAGACAGGGTCTCCCTGAGCTGCTTATGGCCTCCCTAAGTTGCTGGGCTGGCTTTGAACTTGCAGTCCTCCTGCCTCAGCCTCCTGAGCCCCTGGAATTACAGGCAAGAGCCATCGCTCCCAGCTCCAAGTTCTTATGTGATTGTTTTCTTATTAATAACTTTCAATGGCAGTTTTATTGAGGCATAATTCACATTGTACAAATTTATCTATATCGAGTATACAACTCAATGATTTTTATTGTGGATAGTGAATTGTTAGCACCCAGAGTTGGGTAACCACCAGTGCAATGAATTTTAGAGCATTTCATCACCACTCCAAGCCCCCCCAAAACCCATACCATTCACAATCACTCCCCTTCCCCACCTCCACCTGCTAAGCAACCACTAATCTGTTTTCGGTCTCTGGGATATGCCTATTCAGGATATTTCATATAAATGGAATCCCACACTCTGCGGCCTTCTTTGTCTGGCTTCTTTTACTTCCCAAGATGTTTCCACGTTTCATCCACGTCATCATGCGCATCATGGCTGAAGAGTCCTGAGGCATGGAGAGGCCCATTTGCTTGGCATGACGAGGCATATGGTACCTCTGTGCTGAACTCTTGGAGGATCCCTGGGTTTTCTGGTCCCAAGCCTCCCTTTCTGCCTGTTGTCCTTAGTCTCCATCTTCTGTCCTGCCTGGGTCCCTCCTTCTTACCCTTTCTAAATCTTGGGCCCCACCCTTGGGGACCTGCCACACAGGATTATTGTCACTGGCTGCTTCAGCCCTTCCTCTGAGCCACTCCCCTTTAATGACAGAGAGCTGGGGAGACAGCTGCTCTTCGCATGGTACCCTGAGGCTGGGTGCCTTCTCCGCCCACCTGGAGAGGGGGCTGGGAACCTCCCAAGCTTCTCTCTCCAGCTGTGAAGGAAGATTGTCTAAATGCTGTGAAAACTTTCTCCCCTGAGGGTGGAAGACGGGGTGCCAAGGCAAGGGAGGGGCCCAGGCTTGCGTGCTCCAGAGGTGGGCTCTGCTTCCTGTCATGGCAGAATCTCATCCTCAGGGATGCTTTCTTTCTTCTCTCCCTCTCAGGCGGCCTTTCCTGGTGTGTGTGGCAGGCAGAGACTGGCACACACCCTAGCAGGCTCCGTGACATCTTAACTTCTTCCTTGACACTATGCCCCCCACACCACCCCCACCCCAGTCACCATCAGGGC